GCACCAAATATATATCACATAAATTTCAGACAATAGATTCGACGGTGTATTGTTTTTTTCTTTCCTTTTTCAGACATCTATTCTCTTGAAGCAATTGGGCTTAGGCTTATTGCCGACACCAACATTTTTAGAGCTTGATGATGTGTTTGAGTAGCTGCCTGAGGGAAAAATGAACTTGGTGAGTTCAAAACACGGCAATTATTTCGATAGTTTCAAATGATGTGCGGTAAAACAATAGTTTGAATGTTATATCTTTTGAGATGCATTTTATCTTGTGATTGTTCTTGATTGCACTTGTGTTTTTCACAATCAACATCCTTCCTTTGTCTACTAATGAGCCAAAGATAATTCAAAATTTTTATGTACCAAGTCAAGTTTTGTAACAAAAGGTTGACGTTTTGAAGTAGCCATTCTTTTTAGAGTTAATCACCTATACACTACCAGTGTAAAGTTTTTTACACTAGCAACCAATTATATCTTTTAATTGTGTTATGTCACTGCAAACATATTTACTTTTAACAATGACATGAAACAATTAAGAGATATAATTGGTTGCCAGTATAAAATTTTTATATTGGCAGTGTATAGGTGATTAACTCTTCTTTTTAACCATCTTGGAATCAATGGATTCAATGACCGTTAATTACAATATGTTTAAAGATTTTATGTGCATGGCCATAGAAAAAGTTTTATCGAGGTTCACAATAAAGATCAAAATTATTATGGAAAGCACACTAAAAAAGATCTAATCGTCTCTAAATTTAACACATTCAAAGTTTGTATTTTATCCTCTCTTTTAAATCGAAGATCCTTATTTATACTAAAATTATATTATAAAAACAAATCCCTTATTTCTTGATATGATTTCGTAAATCATAAAATATTATTTATTATTAATAATAATTTCATAAATTATGTTTGTTCTGGCCAAGGGGGCATCTAGGGTTCTTCTCCTAAGTCAATCCTCCCAAGTCAAAGCATTCAAGAGTAAAGATATGTCCCATTAGGTTTAGGGTTCACGACTTTATAGTTACTCCTTGTGGACCTCGTAATCCCGTCAGTTTCGTGATTCTTCTTGGCCGTTTTTATGTTCCAAATATTTGATTATCATTAATGGGATTTTGTCCCTAATAATGCTAGGCTAAAGTTCTCGGTTCTAAGTCCCCTAGTAAAGTTATATCGGAACGCAACCGAGCTGATGCCCATGGATGGTAACTAAAGCTCTCGTCCCTCGATCCTCCAGGTATTTCATCTCGGTTTGTCATATCAGTAATTCATATTGGTGAAATGTCCATCGATAAACCATCTCGGCATAATTCCAGGACGGTATAGTTGCCCCACAACCTTGAGCCTATAAGGCGAGAAGACTCTTTAGTGCAAACCATCTCGGTATAAGTTCGAGACGGTATAGTTGCCCCACAGCCTTGAGCCTGTAAGGTGAGAAGGATCTTTAAGGCAAACCATCTCGGTATAAGTCCGAGTCGATACAGTTAAGGCTCTTTAGGTGTTGCTCCAATGACACTACTACTATGGATAGATGTTTAATTGGATTGGTCACAACGCTTGACATGCTAGAGACTTAAAACTTTCCAAGGGTTATCTCTTCATCTTACAACGGAAGGGACATGCACTACTATAGGAGGGACATTTTACATCAGTTCATTTAGATAATCTACATCAGTTCTAAAACCGATGTATATTCAGGCGATGTAGAATGTGTGAGATATTTTACATCTGTTTCAAAAACTGATGTAGAAAGCACATAAAACTACATCGGTTCTCATACAAACCGATGTAGTATATTCAACACTTTTTACATCAGTTTATGGAAGAACCGAAGTAGTATATATATATTTTTATTTTTATTTTTATTTCTTTCTTTCTTCTAATTATTACCGAAAAATTAAAGAAAAAGAATGGTCATCAGGCCATAAACATTTTTTCCTCATTAAAAATAATATTAATGTGTTATAAAATCAATTGTAAAATACAATAGAATGACAAATAAAAATAAAAGTTCTTCATTCTTGATTGTAACACCAAATAATGTAACTACAAAAAAAAAGCGAAATGAAATGAAATTCAAAACCAGTAGTCAGAGTAATCATAATTCAATCTTCCTTATATATTCCTTGTATCTTGGTAATAATTAGCATACTGAGAAATGAAGCATGTGTTTGTAAAACAAATTATCATATTGAGATACTCATCATATATTCCTTATATCTTGGTAATAATTAAAGAAACACTCATATTAGGTCCAGGCATCATGTATGACACAACATTGTTACTATTTGAAACATACTTGTGGTCTTGTACAACTAGTATGAGTTTTGAAACATCCAATGAAATAGGTTAAAAAAAAAAACTAAAGATGCATCTTCTTCGTTCTTTGGCTCAAAAGGAAAGGACAATTGAGAATTCAACATCCAGTGATTGTACATGAGGAATGGAAGCACCTCATACCCAATGCCTAAGAAGCCTAGAAATATATATAGTAAGAGTATAATTCACAATTTTTCGTAGGGAACCAATCTCAGACCCATCTCAATATTTTTTTAGAACCTGAAAATACAAGAAGCATTCATTGGCAACAAGAATTGTAGGAAATATTAAGTTGGTATTAAAAAAGATCATTTTAAATTATAGAAGACAACAAGAAAAAAAAATAGTGATCATAGGCAAAACATTTGTTCCTTACTTTTAGATTAAACTAATATTAACATGAATATAATATTATATTCTAAAAATATTAAGAACACGACAGTAACTACCTTATAGTTTCAAAAATAAGCTTTCCAACATTGATTTTGAACATCAATTTGGTTCTTTAATGCTTAAAATAAAATAGGTACTAATTTCATCCCGAAATTGATGATTTATTTTAATCTATGAATAACCGACATTGACATTCAAATAGGCACTAATTACTTCTTTCTAAGAAATGAAACATACATATTAAAGTGAATTGGGTAATCTCCATCCCATCCATCTAGATTTCTCAGCCCAAACCCCAAGCACCAAGAACCTATATACATTTTCGATTAGCTTATGGATGAGATCATAATTTTATAAGATTTAGAATACAAAAAAAAAAAAATTAAATTTCATTTCAGGGAACAACTTAAAAAAATGGTGTATCCTACTTCAATATTCATTAAGAAATTGAAATAACTTGCAGATCATCAACCCAAAATCATAGCAGTTGCAAAGGAACAAACAATTATTCCAATCAAAGCTTCTTTAGTATCCTTAATAGAAAGTTTTCTTACTTCTTTTTAGAAGATTTATCTTATATTTTCATATAAGTTTACTATCATTATGCTTAAAGCTTGTAAGTCAAAATAAAAATAGCAGTTCAACAGAAGAAATACAATCTATTTCAGTTGATTAAAAAAAGTAGCATACCTAATTATTACCTAAAACAAAAGGGTTACAAATAAATAAATCTTATGAATTTTCAAGACCAGGCTTCAATATCACCTGAGATTAAAGAGCAACCAAAAATTTGATGGTAAAAATGAACACAAATTATTCAAGAAAAAATTTAATAACTTTAAATTCAGAATATGATTATAATATCAAACTCTACCTAAAATTGAGTGAGTCATTGGAGCCTATTTGGGTTTTTTGCATATCAACTATCATCAGGGCAAATGCTCCACATACCTATCATCACCAAATTTTTTATTTATGAATTTCATATCCAAAACCCTCCTCACACACCGCATTCACCATTGCCACAACTTGATGTGTTACACGAAACGCTAGAGCTCGTTCTTGTGTGAGAACCTCGAATCGACAGGGTGTAAAATGAGCAAGTTGCGCAAGACGGAGATCAAGTATAGGTCATTCTCTTGGAGTATGTTGGTGGCATCAAGTTGAGCATCGTGTAGGCAAAGTCGATCTTCACGTCGAAGAGCAAACTGAGAACAGATTGAGAAAGTCCTTAGAATGATGTCGTCTGAGTGTAGTAGCTCACTCGAGTCAGAGGGCTTGGCTAGGGTTTTTGCACCATGGCAGTTCAATGTTGCCTATGAGGCTTCAAGCTCCCCCACGAGAACCATCACAAGAGGCTGGCAAAGCTTATTGAGCTAGTCAATAAGGGCGAAGACAGAGGACTTGGAGTAGAGGAGCTTGTTGAGCGACTTATGAGAAGCGATTAGGGATTTGGGATAAGAAATGGGAGTACAACATCGGTTCCTAAATAAAACCGACGTAGAACACTTCGTATGTATATCGTTTCTCCTTAAAATCGATGTAAATATGTTAGTGTTTTACATTTAATTACAAAAATGCCACCACATTTTTATTTTGCATCGTTTTTAGATCAACCGATGTAAATATGACGTTGTAAAACATTATTTTTGTAGTAGTGATGCATTTATTATTACACCGTCGTTGTAGGGGGGTACATCATTACAATGCCACATGTCACATTGTGCTTGTAACGTGAGAGTGTGGGACCCTTGGGGCTAGGGGGCGTGGTGCTTCACGCGCGTTGCCCTCATACCACTTTCCACGCGCACCCCTTTAAGTCTATAATAACACCGGTGTAACTCTTACTAAGTATTACACCGCTCAATAACTTTATATTGAATGTGAATTTTGTAAATCCAACGTTAGATTGAAAGTTCATATCACTTTATTCGTGTATATCAAATTTTGTTAAAATTGAACAACAACTTGAAGGTAATCAAAATGTTCATATTTTAGTGTATTTTGAAATAAATATATTACGTTAATTTTGTTTTATAAAAATGAAATATCAAATCATTTTATATTAATATAAAAGTTTGTATATATAATCTAAGAGATATGAACTTTCAATCTAACGGTTGAATTTACAAAATTCACATTTAATATAAAGTTATTGAGCGGTATAATACATAATAAAAGTTACACCGGTGTTATTATAACTCCTGATATATAAACTAATACTAATATATATATATATATATATATTAATTTTTCTTTCGGAGTATAGATTTGGCACCGATCCATTTCGTCCGTAGCTGTACACTTGTTGTAATTAATAGCTTTGCTTCCGCAATGCCGACTACGTCGTCGATTCTACTGTTTAAGGATATACACATCTTCCGTGTTCTGTTCTTTTACTCACTCATCTTCTGCCTCTCATTTGTTATAATTATCTCTTTCTCTCTCGAGTTCAATTCGTATCTCATCACCACTATGCAAAAAAATTAGAATATTACTCCTCTCCGTGATTGAAGTTTTCCCTTCACATTCTGATATTTTAAATTAAAAGACGAGATTTTTCTGGTAAATTGTCAGAGCTAGTGTCTTATATGATTTGTTGTTATTTGATTGCCTTCAAAGTTTCTGATACTTTAGGATTGTGTTTGGTTTAGAATTTGATATTTTGATTTTACATTTCTTACATTAAGAGCCCTTTAATGGGGTTGTTCAATGGTTCTGAGTATGTGCCTCTTGGTGAGTTATCTGCGCCAAGGGAGAATCATACAAGGAGAGTTTCTTTTCTTCCTTTGGTATTTATCATCTTCTACGAGGTTTCTGGGGGTCCCTTTGGTGTTGAGGACACAGTGCATGCAGCAGGTCCTTTGTTAGCCCTTCTGGGGTTCTTGGTTTTTCCATTCATATGGAGTGTTCCCGAGGCTTTGATCACTGCAGAGATGGGTACCATGTTCCCTGAAAATAGTGGTTATGTGGTTTGGGTCTCTTCTGCTTTGGGTCCCTTTTGGGGGTTTCAGCAAGGTTGGATGAAATGGCTAAGTGGGGTGATTGATAATGCTTTGTACCCAGTTCTGTTTCTTGATTATCTGAAATCAGCAATCCCTGCATTGGGTGGTGGGGTTCCCAGAACTTTTGCAATTTGGGCCTTAATTGTGGTCTTCACTTACTTGAACTATAGGGGTTTAACCATTGTGGGGTTTGTTGCTGTTCTTTTAGGTGTTTTCTCACTCCTTCCCTTTGTGGTCATGGGGTTCCTGTCAATTCCACACTTGAAACCTTCCAGATGGTGTGTGACAAATCTGGATGATGTTGATTGGAACCTCTATTTGAATACTTTGTTTTGGAATCTCAATTATTGGGACTCTATTAGTACTCTTGCTGGGGAAGTGGAAAATCCAAGGAGAACTCTTCCCAAGGCTCTATTTTATGCTTTGATACTTGTGGTTCTGGGCTATTTCTTCCCTCTGTTAATTGGCACCGGTGCTGTTCCCCTCAATAGGGAGTTGTGGAGTGATGGGTACTTCTCAGATATTGCTAATATTGTTGGAGGAGTGTGGTTGAGATTGTGGCTTCAAGCTGCTGCTGCAATGTCAAACATGGGAATGTTTGTTACTGAAATGAGCAGTGACTCATTCCAGCTTCTAGGCATGGCTGAGAGGGGCATGTTACCTGAGTTCTTTGGCAAGAGGTCTCGCTATGGAACACCTCTTATAGGCATACTCTTTTCAGCCTCTGGTGTGATTCTACTATCATGGCTGAGTTTTCAAGAGATTGTGGCTGCTGAAAACTTTTTGTATTGTTTTGGCATGATTTTGGAGTTTGTTGCATTCATATTGTTGAGGATCAAACACCCCAATGCATCTAGGCCTTACAGGATCCCGGGGGGAACAACTGGAGCAATTGCTATGTGCATTCCCCCCACAATTTTGATTTTTGTGGTTCTGGCTTTCTCATCCAACAAAGTATTGGTTATAAGCCTCATTGCTGTGGCCATTGGCCTTGTGATGCAACCTTGTCTTAAATTTATGGAGGAAAAGGGATGGATGAGGTTCTCAGTTAGGTATGAGTTCCATGATCTTGACAATGAGGAGAGCTTGCACTCTTTTGTGAGTTAGACTTCTCCTGTTTGAAGAGAAAATTACACTGAATGCACAGAACCTGAAATTAAAATGCATTTTGTCTAGTTACAACTTAAGCTGCGTGTCAATTTTGTGAGTTTGTTGATAGAACGGTAGGTTGGTCACTAGACACCTGAATCAGAGAATTAGAATGTTTTAAGAAATGAGTTTATTTGGTTTCTATGTATCTAATTTTCTTTTAAATTATAAAATTTGGAAATTCATAATGTAATTATAATGCTGCCCTTGTAAAAATGCCTCAACCACAATTTTTTTTACATTGGTCGTGCTATAGGGATAATTGTTGGGTTGAAATATACTATTGTTTTCCATAATTTTTTTTATTGAGTGAACTTTATTTGTTGCATTAAACAATGTGAGTTTAGTAAAAAAGAAAAATGGGAGTCTCACGCAATATTTAATAAATTTCATTTATTATTCAACGAATTTATATGAATTATTTTATAGTTTTTAAAACAGTATTATAAAAGTATGTTTCTAAAATTTTTCTAATTGGGTACAGCAAAATTATCTCACGATATAAGCAATTGAAAACAAGTGTACAACAAATTAATGCATTTAAACTAACAACTAGGTAGTTGAGATTTTAACGGGATTTTGAATGATTCAATATGATTGTATCCATATTCAGCATATTCTTACTTATCTTTGGTAGATTCTTACCGGAAAGGCTAATGTAGTAGTAGATACATTGAGTAGAAAATTTATTCAAATGTTATCTTTGATGAATAAAGAATTGGAGTTGATTGAGAAGTTCAGAAATTTAAACCTTTGTGTTGTGATGGCTCAAGATTAAATTAGTTGTGGAATGATTAAGTTCTTTGAGCAAGTGAGGGACAAGTAGATGCAAGATTTGGGTTTTAGGAAGACTAGAATTGTTGGGTATTGAGAAGGCGATGGGATTTGATGTTAGTGCAGATGGAATTTTGAGATTTAAAGACATGATTTGTCTATCTTAAGATTCTGAGTCGAGGAAAATGATTTTGGATAAAAGGCATAAGGGTTGACTCGATCTATATCCTGGCATGACTAAGATTTACCCAAATCCCAAGAAGAATTTATTGTGATCTGATATGAAGAGAAAGGTGGTGGAGTATGTGAATGCTTGTCTAACTAATTAGAAAGCAAAAGAGAAGAATAAAAAACCAGGTCGCACGATTTTTCGTAGTGAAGTAGTAATTCTAGTTAGATGGAGTATAAAGAGTAGTCAAATGAAACACTAGGAATTTTTATATTGGTTCATCTCAACCACTGAAATTACATCTAATTCTCAATTCAACCAAATTGAGTTCTATTATCTTTAAGCAAAGATGCAAATATTCTTTCAACAAGTCATTTCTGACTCAACTCTAAGTATTCTTTGACTTGCCTCTTCAAGCAACTACCCAAGTATTCTTTTAACAACAAGTCTCTCCAAGCTTAACAACCAAGTATTCTTTTACAGTCAAGTCTTTCTAGGATCAAAATAAGTATTCTTATACAATCAATCCTCTCCAGGCTCAAAACAAGTATTCTTTTTGGACAAGTCTATCCAAATTCAACCTTATAACTATGGTTATAACGATTACAAGTGTTATATTCGTCTCACTTAGATGTTATACAACCAATACAGAATAATGAGTGTTTACAAGAAAGAATAGATTTATTGAGAGTATGTTTCTGTACAAATGTATATGGTGCATCTCTTGTGTAAAACTATATTTATGTGTTTCTTGCGCTTTGAATCTTCTTATATATTAGCTTGGACTATTGCAACACTTTAAGTCTAGTTCACAAGTTTGCTTCATCTTTCTTCATTGTTTTTCCTTATGATGTGATGGAAGTGTTTCATCACTTTCCTCCACTTTCTTCTAGAATTGTTCTTGGACAAACTCAAAGAGACAAAGAAGAGAGAATTGGTGTCAATCCTCTAAGTGAAGTATGAGGTTGAGAGATTTAAACTCTCATAAGAACAAGTTTTTAAAGAGAGTTGAAGAACCCTCGCACATAAGGACTCTTAGTGACTTCAAGAGAGTGATTAAGAGAGAATGAATAAACTCAATATGCATATATCTTAGAAAGTGACATACAAAGTGATAGACCATGAGCCAAGTGCCCAATCACTAGAGCTGTGGCTAGGAGAATACAAGAAGAGTTGGACCTCTTGAAAACTAGTAGGCTTCTCAAGCCCAAGGTATTCTTCACTTGGACTACTCTATCATAAAGAGAAGGCCTAGTTCTACTTGTGTATATTTTGTACATAGTTTTCTTGTATAGGTTATTTTTGCCTTTGTATTTGTGAGGCATTTTACTTGCTTTTATTATTCATTGTATAATTCGCGTTTATCATACAATTATCATTACTATCATTGTTACCTTTGTTTGATAAGCTATCATCTGTAATTTCATCATCTTCTTCAACATTGATATCATCATCGTCACTTAAGTTTGTTGCAAAATCAATGTTTGAATTAAAATGATTAATTGGTGGAAAAATTCTTTGCTCAAACTGATGATGGCTACTCATTACATTTGAATGTGTTAAAATTGGAGGGTGAATAAATCATTTATGCATATGATAGATGTCACACATTCATAATTTCATTGACTCAACATTTCACTTGTCATGGAATTTTATGTCTCATATCATCACATTTCACATTCTCATAGTCATAGCTTATCTCATTCCATCACATTTCACATTCTCATTCACATCATATCTCATGTCATTTGTTCCTATTTTACATAGTCATATTCATAATTGTTCCTCATAGAGTTTCGCACAAGAACCCACAGAGCACTCTAATTCATATAAAAACTTATCTAATTTTGAAATCAAATACATATTTACACTCTACATCACACAAGAAACGCAATAGAACATTCTGAAAGCAAAACAGAAAACATTCATATTTTGCCTGTTTCTCATAGGATTTCCCATAAGAACTCATAAAGCACTCTAATTCATATCAAAACATATTTATTCTCAAAATTAATCACATATTCACACATCACATCCAACAAGGAATACAACAGAGCAATCAGAAAGCAAGACAGAAAGCATTCATATTTTTCTTGTTCCTAGAAGAACGCATCAGGCAAGGGATTGGGGGCCAATCCTACTACCCAACAATTATTCCCACACCCCTGAACGAGGTTTCTCACTCTCCCCTTACCTGGATAAGCAGAAGGCAAAGTTAGAGCAGAATCTGGTTGATCTCCTTCTCTTGGTTCTCCTTGGTCTCTAGAGAGTGTGTCTAGAAACAGTGCCAGAGTGCTCCATTTATAGATTTCAAGAGTGGCCAAAATGACCCGTTTTGAATCTGGAACGGCCCGTTCTGGATCCTTTCATCATATGTTAAATTCACATTTGGAACGGCCCGTTCTCAAACCAGAATGTCCCGTTCTGAAGATGAGTTTTAACTCACAACGGTCATGTTTGGAACGACCCGTTCCGAACTTTGGAGCGGCCCATTCCCAACTAAGCTTACAAGCCTTTTTAGTAGTTTGAAACGGCCCGTTCCAGTGTGGGATAATTGGGCCTAGGCAAAATTTTACATATTAGACTCATTTTGCTCCTAATTTTTCATGGATTTGATTTAGATAGGTCTCATCATCATTGGATGAACCTAACTAAACCAAATCAAACATTTTTGAAATAAATCAAGTGAGCAAAATGAGCTTGGGCCCCCTAGCCTATGTCTTCCTCCTTTGGCCAGATTCACTATTCACTCTCTTCAAGCTTAGAAGCTTGCAACACAAACATCTCCTTAGCTTGCTTACCAAGCAAGCTAAGTGAGAAGCTTGCTCTCCAAGTTTCTAAACCTTGGCCGGTCAAGCAAACCCTACCATGGTTCCTAGTGAACCATGGTTAAGGTTAGCTTCCTCTCCAAGCTACCTCTCCCTATATATTTGCAATTCCTTCAGTGTAGCTCACTTTTGACATTTATGAGATTTAGAATTTAGAATTCTCTCTCATTTTCAAGAGTCCCTAACCGTAGAGAACTCTCTCTTTTAGTTCTCTCTCAAAGGTTCTTCACCTTGAAGCTTGGTTCCTCAAGCTTTCTCACTTCTTCAAGGAGTGGCCGAACCTCCACCATTGCTTCTCCTCCATTGAAGGTTTCTTCAAGGAGCTTCAAGCAAATTTTCTAGTTCTCCTCAAGAGTAGAAACGGTCTTGGAGTGGAGCACTTGAAGATTCATCAATCATCTTCAAGCTAGTTCCATCACAAAAGAAGGGAAAGACGTAAATAAATCTAGATGGCTTATAAGAGAAGATAGCTTAACCAAGTTCTCCTCAAGAGTAGAAACGGTCTTGGAGTGGAGCACTTGAAGATTCATCAATCATCTTCAAGCTAGTTCCATCACAAAAGAAGGGAAAGACGTAAATAAATCTAGATGGCTTATAAGAGAAGATAGCTTAACCAAACCATAGGTCGCAAGATCAGAAATTTTCAGGTTGCGACAACTATTCACTTTCTTCAAGCTTAGAAGCTTGAAGCACAAGGTTCTCCTTAGCTTGCTTACCAAGCAAGCTAAGTGAGAAGCTTGCTCTCCAAGTTTCTAAACCTTGGACGGTCAAGCAAACCCTACCATGGTTCCTAGTGAACCATGGTTAAGGTTAGCTTCCTCTCCAAGCTACCTCTCCCTATATATTTACAATTCCTTCATTGTAGCTCACTTTCGACATTTATGAGATTTAGAATTCAGAATTATCTCTCATTTTGAAGAGTCTCTAACCGTAGAGAACTCTCTCTTTTAGTTCTCTCTCAAAGGTTCTTCACCTTGAAGCTTGGTTCCTCAAGCATTCTCACTTCTTCAAGGAGTGGCCGAACCTCCTCCATTGCTTCTCCTCCATTGAAGGTTTCTTCAAGGAGCTTCAAGAAAATTTTTGAGTTCTGCTCAAGAGTAGAAACGGTCTTGGAGTGGAGCACTTGAAGATTCATCAATCATCTTCAAGCTAGTTCCATCAGTTTAGGAACTTAACTACTTTTCTCCACTACTTGTCATCCCCAAACTGATGGGCAAACAGAAGTTGTTAATAGATCCCTATCTACCATGTTAAGGCGAGTCCTTAAGGGTAAACATAAGTCTTGGGATGAGTACTTGCCCCATATTGAATTTTCTTATAATAGGGTAGTCCATAAGACTACCAAAATCTCACCTTTTGAGGTTGTTTATGGTTTTAACCCTCTCACTCCTTTAAACCTAATACCCTTGCCATATTTTTCTCACTATTTTCATAAAGAAGGGGTATCTAGGGCTGATTTTGTTAAGAA